GGTCTAGGCCGGTTGTCATGGCGACCTGATGAAGAGAACGGAAGCCTTAATACTTAGTTAGCATGATCCTAAAATGTAAAATATTGCAAAACTGATCGATGTCCAGTATAATGTATGTCAAGATGATATTAGACCTGCTAGCGTCTACGATATTTTAATTCGCTCAGTTTTAAAGCAAAAGTATTTAGGTGAAATCTTCTTTCATCCTACACCTCGATACTTGTGCAGGTTCAACAAATTATATAATAGCTACCTTTGAGGAGGTGGAAACCTCAGAATGACATGACTCGACGTCTTGGACGTCATCACTGGGACAAGAAATATCCTCCTTTCCCTCTTTTACGATAGCGTAGAGCTCGTCAATACGCTTCTTCAGAACACATACATCGCTTTTTATATTCCTTTTATCTGTAGATTTCTCCTCCAATGAAGTTATTTTCTCAGAAAATTCAGACATGATACTTCGTAATTCCTCCATATTCTGATTGAGAACTTCGAATTTTGTTAAAATATTGTTTTGGTTATTGGATAATTTTGTAATATGGTCTTTGAGTGTTTGGAAATTACCCTCCACATGGTCAGATTGGCCATCCGTATTCATATTGGTTATATTTCACAGAAATCTTTGAATAAATTAAACTTTGTACATGATTCAAACAATACTTTAGAATTCCGAGGTTTTAAGACACAATCTATTTTAATTTATTTCATTGTTGATTTTGACGTTTATGAATTTTTTTCTACGTCAAAATCTTGCCAGATTTTGATGGACAAGGTCGTAATGGCAAAGGTTGTATACATACTAAAAAGGTTATCATCGGGTGAAACTTTTTGTTTGCATAACTTTACTTTATTGTGTAAGGTCTGATAGAATGCCGTTTAAAAATACAAACAGGTTTCTACTACCACAATTCGTACAAAAACATTTTGTAGATTTGGCAGCAGGGAAGACAAAAAGAATAAAACGTTTGTTCAGAGATCCAAAGCAGTTTATTTGTTTTCTACTCTACATGAAAGGAATGCAAATAAGCTGTACTGTCGCCTCCCCGTATAGTGGAAAGAAGACAGAATTGAAGTTATAGCGCGCCGCCGCGGAGACGAAGCACCAAATGAAGAGTAGACTCCTTCTGGATGTTGTAGTCGGAGAGTGTACGACCATCCTCCAACTGCTTGCCGGCAAAGATGAGACGTTGCTGGTCTGGAGGGATACCTTCCTTGTCTTGGATCTTGGCCTTAACATTCTCGATGGTGTCCGAGGGTTCAACTTCTAGGGTGATTGTTTTGCCAGTCAGAGTCTTGACGAAGATCTGCATACCACCTCGGAGACGGAGTACCAAGTGGAGTGTGGACTCCTTCTGGA